GGGCCACCCCGTGGCGGGGCTGCGACCGCCTGGCCGCTCGGTGCCCGACGGTCTGTGAGCGCGCGGGGAACCTCGGGCCCCGTGCCTGAGCTCCGGCTTCCCGCCCTTCGCTGCCTCCGGAGGCTTTGCCCGGAGACGCGGACCTGGAGGGAAACCGCAGCCGCTGCGCCAAGTTCGCGCCTGGCAGCTCTTCGCGGGGACCTGGGCTTGGGACGCGCCCGAAGTCCAGTTTGGGCATCTCTTCTTCCGTGTTCATCCACGCGAACCTCCCTTTTCGGTGCGATTTGCAGAAAAAGGGGAAGAGAACTAGGCATGTCTCCAAATCTGGGAATTTAAAAAGTTTTTATATTCACCAGTTGCTGCCTGTCTTTAAAACCGTGTCTGAAATCCTCACCTGGCCTCTCACCTTCTCTCCCGCTCTCTCCAGTTAAATTGATCCGTTTATCATTTTCCTGCTAGACTTGAACACTATACGAAGGACTTGATACCATGTATATACACACACACACACACACACACACACACAAATACATATATATGCATATATATAATTATGATAGCATCTGGAGACTTATGAGGCTATAATTTAAATATTCTAGGAGCTAGCAAGTTTTCAGATACTTTATCTGGTCGAAGCATCTGTTTATTTGTTTGTTTATTTATTTATTTCGGCGCTGGAGATTGAACCCAGAGCCTCCCACATACTAGGAGTAGCTGGGAATACAAGAGTGGGTGGGTCACCAAGCCCCGCTGGCACAAACGTTTGTTAAACACAATTAACTGCTACCCATACGGATGTGTTATACCTTTCTGAGGTTGACATTGGATTATTAGATCATGTTTCAAATTAAGTACCCTTTCTTCTTTTGTTTTCCCAGACCTGTTTTCAGATGTGGCGGCGTTCTTACTGGAGAATCTGGATTTATTGGCAGTGAAGGTTTTCCTGGAGTGTACCCTCCAAATAGTAAATGCACTTGGAAAATCACAGTAAGCGTTTTAAAAAAGAGATTCTCCTGGAGGTGGATACTGGAAACAATGTGGGGCTGCTGCCTTTAGTCCTCTAGCCACAGAATTTGAGTGAATGCCTGAATAAATGAAATGTTGGATTTACTTCAAGTATTTGGGAGATTTTTATTAAGAGATATAGTGGTGTCCTGCATTCGCAATTAGCAAGATAATACTTGAAGGAATAAATTTTAAACCAGATGTGTTTCTGAAAACCCAGCTGGACTGAGTTGAGTTTTATGGATTCATAATTAAGTCTATTTTCACTTGAAGGCCTGTTGTAGTGACCTTTGGAAGTCAGTTGTTGCTCAGGCCTGCTTAAATTCCCAGTGGGAAATAAAAGATCAAAGTGCTTGGACTACTTCATACCCATTAGGGAAAGAAAAAGGGAGGGAGGGGAAAAAATCCCCGCTTAATGTCCCTGGCTAGAAACCACCATGACATGAGGGGTGGGGACAAGTAATGACAAGGGCGAATAAAATGCCCAAGCTGGTTAGTAATGGTTGGATTATGTAGTCAAGATAAAAAGCTGGACTTGGAAACAACTTTTTTTTTTTAAAGTCTGGATTTAATCCACTAGATTGACCCATTTTAGTGTGTAACAAACACTTACTACTTCCAGTTGGTGTAGCAGCACTGCTGTCTTCATGTTTTTGTTGTTGTTGGGAAGTGCTTGGTAACTGAAAACATTTTTCACTGAGAGCTTCATTTGACCACCCTTAGATTATGATTTGAAAAGTAGCTACCTCTGACTGAGCCAACTAGCATTTACTGTAACAAGTAGTCAGGGAGCATGTTCTCACGGACTCCTCAAGCCCATTCTGAAGAAGTATTGTATTCCCATTTTATAAAAATAGAAGGTGAGACCTAAAACAATTAAAGGTATTGATTCGATCAACCTCAGCTTTATATAAAGTAAAACCTGTTCTACAACGAGGCATTCCACCAACAAGTCATTTGACAGGCAGAGCTGAGAAGTCCCACTCCATAATGTAAAACTCAGTTCTTATATGCGTTGTTCTCCTATAAAATGGAGCCATCTGATGAATTGGTGCAGATTTCTTTACGTTATTATAGCATATGGAGCCAGGAGAGAATAAGTTGTAGAAAGTCTCTTTGAAATATTAAAATAATGATATTAACGTAAATGTGAAATAATGCTCCAAACATTCATAAAAGTAACTTGCGTTTCCTGTGATAGTTGTGTTTTAATTGTAATTAAATAGTTGCTAGTTTAAAATGATCCAAAAAGATTTGTGGCTAAAAGGCATCAGGTCAAAATTCACAGATGGTCCTTGTGTTTTGAGGATTGCAGGACGGTGGTGTGGCATCAGACTTTGGGTGTGTGTGTGTTGGGGTTGTTTCCACTGAATGCTGTCAGAGGAGCAGTTTGCCTTAGGAGAGGCCTGGTTGCCTCATTCTGTGGGTGCAGGGGAAGTGTTTGGATGTGCCGTTTGGACATAATGTGAATGTTAAGCCTGCGTACTTGTCACCAGAGTCCTAGGCCAGAGCCTGACTCTGAAAGTCCCAACACACCAGATTTGGCTCCCTGCTGCGTGGAGAATCCAACCAGAGATGAGTGCTGGTGAGCTAGTTAAGACATTTATTACTATGACGATACCAATACCCTAAGCCCTGTCTTCAGGATACTGATAGGAGCTCCAGGATTATACATGGAAAGGACAAAATCTGGGAACAAGAAGTATACGTAGACAAGCAGACTTGGTCAGATAGTTCAGGTTGGTCTAGTTCTGTGGGGTCCTGCTAGCTCTGGTGAAATCATTACTGCTTGGGAGGCAGTTTTGTTCCCTCATGATATGATCTGCCTGTAAGTCTTGCTGTTCCTGGAACCTGAGGTAAACTGAAAATAAATGACCCAGAGAAAAAACAGGCCAGAGAAGCAAAATGGAGTCAGTCAGGATAATGACTGGATCCTCCTTTTTTGTGTTTGTTTGTTTTTCCGGTACTGGGAATCGAACTCACAACCTTGCGCTTGCCAGGTAGGTGCTGTGCCACTGAGCTAAATCCCCAGCCCCTTGGATCCTCCTTTAAATCTCTAATTTTAAGATGGGTGCGATGGCGCACACCTGTAGTCCCAGCACTCTCTCAGGAGACTGAGGCAGGAGCATCACTGCTAGTTTGAGACCAACCTGGGCTACAAAGTAAGTTCAAGGCCAGCCTGAATTGCATAGTGAGACCCTGTCTCACAAAGACAGAAAAAGAAAATCCCCAATTTTAAAGCTCAGCTCAGCAGGGAGACTTGGTTGTATACAAATTCTCTTTCCACTCCTCATAAACTGTGCAACTAGGATTTATCATTTTTTTAAGCCGCAGGCTTTGTTGTGAAGACAAAATGAGATAGCACATGTAAAGCCCTGTGCCTGAGCAGGAAGTTTGATTTGCTACAAGAACCTGTCAAGGAGGCTAGTGTAGCTGGAACAGAATGACTTAGGGGAACAGTGGAAAGAGTAGAAGTAAAGAAGATGAGCAGAACCCTGGAGGCCAGGGTGAGGAGCTTGGTTTTTGTTTTGAGTAGGAGGCTGCTGGAGGATTTTAAGCAAGCAATGAGATTATCTGGTTTTAAGGGCATTCTGGCTGCTGTCTGGAGGATGAATTATAGGGCATTAAGAATGGAAGCAGGGAGGTGGGTTAGGAAGTTGTGACGTACACAAGAGGAGATGGTGGAGTAATTAGGGAGGTAACAAAGATGAAGAAGCAGGGAATCTCCTGTCTTCTTAAGTGTTTTCTTAGCAAATCTGCATGCAGTTGGAGTAGTGCTACTGACTGAAAGGTCAGTGTCCCAGGCCCTGGCCCTGGCCCGGCCAGTGTTCCATACAGGGTTGTGCTCTGCTAGAACCTTAACCACGGCAGACGATGAAGATTTTCTTCCTTTTTATTAGTTTCTATTAGTATGTATGTTATGGCTTGTATGTAGATATTCCCTCAAAGTCTCTTGTGCTCATAGGTGGGGCATTTCAGCCTGGCTGGATCTAGGGTATGTGATGGTGGTCTTAGGGGTGTATGGTACTTACATGTGCAAGCACCACATTGTCTCACTAGTGTAAAACCTGAAAGAGTTAATTTAAACTAGGAGGTATGATAGACATTGTGAAATGATAGGGAAACACTAAAGGGCAATTGGGATGTGGGAAAAGAGAAGGGAAAGAAGGAGAAATTTTGTATGTATGTGTATACAGGATAGTTAACATAGTTGTCCTATTGTCTTCTATTTCTTTGCTGAAAGAAACTGTCAGTGAGTTCTTGATTGATCAATATTGCATGTCTCTATCTGTTTTCATGAGAAACCACTTTGAAGATATCAATATGTAATACAACAACCATTGTTAATTTCCTACCACTTTGTTTGTAACTCTGTATTGTCTATACTGTTCTTTTGCTATTTTGTAAAAGGTTGGCTGTCAGTGTTTTCCTTGTTTTATTTTTAAAATAAAATTTTTAAAAAAGGGTGTATGGTACTAAATTATTCTGCTGATTAGTTTAGTATAGTTCTGGGTGTGCATAATGGAAGGCCCACACTGGGTGTAGGTGGAACCTCCAAAAGGCTGGTAGATTGGATGGGATAAAAGGGAAAGGGAGGCTCACGTTGCTGTGCTTGCTGCTGCCTGCCTCCTCCGCCATGGATTGTATCTCCTCTGTCATACCCCTCTACCATGCTGCCCTGCCTTGGAGCCAGTTAATTGTGGACTGAACCCTCTGTGAACTGTGAGCTGAAATAAACTTCTCCTCCTTTAACTTGTGGGTACTAGCTGTTGTGTCTCAGTGGTGAGAAAAGTAATTGAGACAGATTTTCATACCAAGAGTGGGGTTTTTGGTGTGACTCTCCTGACCATGTGGTTCAGGAGCCTTTGGAACTGGCTATAGGAATATTTGGGAATGATTTGTAGTTTCCACCTGAAGAAACAGCCTGGAATGCTATAAGCTGAACTTGATGAGAGATTCTAGTCGAAGTTCAGAAGACCAGAATGTTGACTACAAGGTAGCTGGAAAAGACCAGGCTCAGGAGGTATCCGCTGGAAAGAAAGACTACGTTGGCAGTTGGACTCCAGACCATGTGTGTTATGCTCTGGCTGAAAATTTGTCTGCATTTTGTTCTTGTCCAAAGAATTTGCCTGAGACTGAGAATAAGGGCGGCAGACTAATTAATCTAGCAGAAGAAATTTTAAGGTAATCTAATGTTGAGGCTGTGCATAGCTACTGTTGGAGGCTTGTAGCCAGATCTAGTTTTGAGAATCAAGAGCAAGGAGCTCAGTAGGATGACTTAAAACATTTTGAGTGTGGTCAGAAAGGAAGCTTTGGTAAGGTTACAGCCTGCAAAGAAGGAGAAGAGGAGAATTTGGTTGCTGAGAAGGAACAGAACAATAGAAAAGATGACCTGAGAACATCACGAGAACCAGCAGGACTCTACCTCTTATAGCCTCCAAATTACCAAGGTGAAAAACTTGGCTTTGAGAACCAGAGCACCATGTGCTATTGTATGTTGGAAGTATTTAGAGAATTTGTTCCTCAGAATTGAGTTCACAACACTCAGAAATCCAGGCACTTGACTCCTCCAGCCGAGAGAGAAGGCGGCCTGGCTACTGCTCCAGCTGGTGGCAGACCTTGACATCATCCACATGATGCTAGTTTAGGCAGTGCAGAAAGCAAGAGTTGTGGGGTCAGGAAGGCCTCCACCCAGATTTCAGAAGAAATCCTGGAAGACCAGGCAGTGTGCCCTTGAGAGGGCAGTGTGAAACTGTGAGTGTGAAGCTGAAGGTCCAGTAGAGAACCTATAGATTATGAGAAGCGAAGAATGTGGATCAGCTGAGGAAAACTGCAAGGAGTGAGCAAAACCAGCCTAAGAGAGAAGCCATGAGAGCTGCAGCCAAGATGCCATTGTGGGAGAGCCTCCCCAGCCTTTTGAAGTTCACTTCTTGCCATGGATTGCCTTGGATGCTGGACTGGAAGTACAGGACTTAATGTTT